GGGGGGGAAACAAAAAAAGTCCCCTAAGAGGATTAGTTTAAGCTCCTCTATTTGGATTATAAATATAATGCCTATGTTTATAAATCCAAGGATACTAAAAAGATATTTGACTTCTAAAAATTTAGTTTAAATTACCAGTTGGAGTGCATAAAATCTAGAAATGGAAACCCAGTGACTGTGATATTTTTGCCTGCTTTTGTGTTGACCAGTCTTGAATTCAAGCACTTACTCAAGACAAGTTCCAAACTAGATAGAAGGTGCTTTCTGAGCTGGAACTTTCTGCTTATTTCAAGCAGCAAGTTCATGGCTATTGAGTACAGTTTATCAGAACTGCATTTCTGTAAAACAGCCTTACGACTTACACTTTTAGATTCTGACCAACACTTCACGGTGGTCAGTAACTCACTGAGTTGAACTCTGCATCCATACATTGCACATTAAACTCACTAAAAAATACCACTTTTCTGTATTTTGCTTTTTCATTTTTGGATAATTCCTGAGCTCAGCCTAACCATTAGGTCATAATTGATTCTTTTTTCTTAAAGTCTCATTTTGTTTTCAGGGTAACATACAGACCTACAGCTCCATCCATTGAATGTGCCCAAAGCATTGTTATTTACTTACAAAATTATATGAGTCTGTTTAGTCGTGACATTTGTGTTGCCTCTCAGACTGTGTAGGCTCCCCAACTGGGGATGTTGGGAGAGGTGGCCAAAAGGAAGCGAAGGTCTAAGTCAATGTTTGAAGTGAAAGAGGGCATCCTGCCATGTCTTGTATCCCCATTAGTGACAGCGAAAGGTGGGGGACAGGCACCAGAGCAAAACGAGCCCCCCTAGCCTAGGTGATCCAGGTTGAAGGCTTCCAGAGTTGAGCTTCATCTGTCAGTAAAAATGTGGAGATTATATTCCTTGCCTACACCAGTGTTCTCTGCTGTTTCAGGAACCCATCGTTTAAAGAAGTCGTTCTGATTTGCTAAGGTACCAAGGGAATGGAGAAGAGATTCTTGTTAAAAGATGTGTCACTACTTGCTTGTTTCATGAAGAATTCCTGTGCTTTCTAATTACTAACTGCACAGGTCCCTCTGGGACAGACTTCATAATATTCCAGGCATCAAAGTGCATGAGCCCAACCAGGGGTTTCCCGTTAATGGCAAGGATTTCATCCCCAGCTTCTATTGTTCCAGCCTGTTCAGCTGCACCACCTGTGAGAGTAAATACAGAATGATGGCTTGGAACTTCCATAGTATTCACAGTGAAGTCCAAATAGACTAAAAACTTCAGTGAGAAAAAGCTCTAAATGATATGTTTACAGTCTTAAGATAGACACACAAAGCAAATACCCATAAAAAGAAATCTCACTTAAAAATTTAAATCTGTAACCTTTTTCCCTCCCCCACAAAATATAAGCAACCGAGGGGAAGATGTTTCAAAAGAATACAAAATTAAAAAGAGAAAGTTGAACAAAGGGAATCATTAATAGCCAATAAATGCAGGACAACAGGTTCAAATTCCAGTTGTTGACATGTTGGTTAAGGTGTCCCAAGTTCTGAGAAGCAGTGCTTCCATGCTCAGCAGTGACTAGAAATACTTAAAGGCTTTTAACCTGTTTCAGCACTGCAGCTTTATGTAGGTTATAGCAAGGTTACGAGCTTTGAAACACATGCTGAAGCCCTCTTCTATTTACTTTCCTGCATGTGCACATCTCAGTCATGTTAAAGAAGAAGTGCACGCCGGCTGTGGGAGAAGCACTTACCCTGGAGAAACGGGCATTAAAAGACAAGTCTCCAAGTACAAAAGGAATTTGCTCAGAAGTCTTAATTAGATCTAAAAAAACTGAGCAGATATGGCTCTTCCGCCCTAAATTTCTGAAAATTGAATACTGTTTTATCAGTCTTTATAATCAACTGAAATCACAACACTGGAGCTGGAAGAGAGTTCAGATCCAGCCCACTCAAGGGCAGAAACGCTGTCAGGCACGGAGGCAGACTCTCGTCAGCGTAGCACGCCCCGGGCTCATGTTTAATAAAACTGTTAATTAGTATTAAATTTAGTAATAAAACAATGCTGATAGTTAATATGTTAACTCTCAGTATTATGATGTTAGTATAGTTACATTGTTCAGCCCAGAAACCTGAAGTGACTTGAGAACCGTCCAAGGTCATAACGCAAATGACTGAAGTTCGTTCATGAAGGGATGTGTCGCGACCATTCTGCAGTACCTGCTCCCCCCCCCC